TACACACACCTACACACAGATACACACCCATACACACCCCTATACATACAGATACACACGCCTATGCACACCTACACACACCTACACACAGATACACACACCTATACACACACCTACACACACCTACACACACCTACACACACCTACACACAGATACACACCCATACACACCCCTATACATACAGATACACACGCCTATGCACACCTACACACACCTACACACAGATACACACACCTATACACACACCTACACACAGATACACACCCATACACACCCCTATACATACAGATACACACACCTACACACACACCCATACACAGATACACACCCGTACACACCCCTATACATACAGATACACACACCTATGCACACCCATACACACCTACACACAGATACACACCTACACACACACCCATACACACCTATACACACACCTACACACCCATACACACCTATACACACACCTACACACCCATACGCACACCTATATGCACCTATACACACCTATACACACCTATATGCACCGATGCACACACCTATACACACCCCCATACACACCGATACACACCTGTACACACAGATATACACCCATACACACCCATACACACCCCCATACACACCGATACACACCTATACACACAGATATACACCCATACACACCCATACACACCCCCATACACACCTGTGCACACCTATACACACCCATACACACCCATACACACCAATACACACCTATGCACACCTATGCACACTGGTACACACCAGTACACACAGACACACACACCACAACACAGATACTCACCTATACACACAGGTACACACACACGTGTGCACACACACACGTGCACACGGACACACATAAATACAAAAACATGCACACACATATGCTCCCATGCATGCACATGCGCGCACACACACACCCCACACGTGTGCACACGCTCACATACACACCTGTACACACAGATATACACCCATACACACCCATACACACCCCCATACACACCGATACACACCTATACACACAGATATACACCCATACACACCCCCATACACACCTGTGCACACCTATACACACCCATACACACCCATACACACCAATACACACCTATGCACACCTATGCACACTGGTACACACCAGTACACACAGACACACACCTATACACACAGATACTCACCTATACACACAGGTACACACACACGTGTGCACACACACACGTGCACACGGACACACATAAATACAAAAACATGCACACACATATGCTCCCATGCATGCACATGCGCGCACACACACACCCCACACGTGTGCACACGCTCACATGCATGCAGACACGTGTGCACATACATATACACACGCATGCATGCAGACATGTGCATGCGCATGCACAGACACGTGTGCACACACATATACACACGCATGCATGCACAGACACGTGCATGCGCATGCACAGCCCCATATTGCACATGCACATGTGCACACACACATACACACACATGCACGCACACAGGCACGTGTGCGCACATGCACAGACCCGTATGCACACACACATGCACACGCATGTGTGGACACACGTGCACCCTCCATCCCCACCAGCTGAGCGTTGCACACCCCCCGCCAGCTGCGTGCGCGTGGCACACGCACTCTCACAGCTAACCGTGCCCTGCACGCGCACACACGGCACTTTACATGCTGCAGACCCGTGCACTGCACGCTCCCGCTACCTGCGCGTTGCGTGCCCGCATGCGCCTGCCGTGCTTTGCACGTGTGCTGGCGCTGCTGCGCGGGGGCCGGGGGCAGAGGGGGCTCTGCAGCCACGGAGGGCGCGTGCCCGTGTGCACACACACGCGTGTGCACGCAGGCCCGCGCGCCCGGCCCAAAAGCCCAGCGGGGACCCTCTGCCCCCCACCTGCGCCCTGCGCAGCCCAGCTCCAGCCCCTGCACCCCTGCACCCCTGCACCCCTGCACCAGGCCAAGCCCGGCTGCGTCCTTGTCCCTCCCAGCTCCGGCCCTTCGCCAGCTGCCACTCAAAGCCGTCACCAAGGCCAGCCTGTCGCCAGGCCGCCCTGGCTATAAGACTCCCAGAGCTGGCAACTGCCAGCACCCTGGGCTTGGGTGCTCCTGCGGAGCCGGGGGCACCCCGCGCTGGCACCCCTTGCCGTGCCGCCCCGGGGGCCTGGCCCCGGCGACGCCGCAGGGACGGAGACGCGCACGCGTGTCGCGTCCCCTGGAGCTCCCTTCGCTCCGGCAAAGCTGCGCTTCCTAAAGCGGGAGGAGGACGCGGTCCAGCCAGGCGGCATCGTGCGTGGGGGCGTCCCCGTGCAACCGCCTCGGCCCCACCGGCGCGGCTGCTCACGCCGTGCGCCGCCTGGGCAGGAGCAGCGCGGAGCGGCCACGAACGCCTGCCCGTCAGCTGGGAACGGCGGTGGGGAGGACGGGCAGCCAGCCCCCAGGTGAGCAGGCGTGCAATGAGGTGCACGACGGGGTGTGCGGCGTGCAAGGTGTGCAATGGGGTGTGCACAGGGTGTGCAGTGTGCAAGGTGTGCAATGGGGTGCGTGACGGGGTGTGCGCAGGGTGTGTGGCATGCAAGGTGTGCGATGGGGTGTCCGGGCTCTGCTGTGCAATGGGGTGTGCGGCGTGCAAGGTGTGCGATGGGGTCTCCGGGGTGTGCACGGGATGTGCTGTGCAATGGGGTGCGTGACGGGGTGCGTGCAGGGTGCGCGGCGTGCAAGGTGCGCTACAGGTGCATGGCGTGCGTGTGCTGCGCAACGGGGCGCACGTGGCGTGCGTCCTGCGCAACGGGGCGCGCGCGCTGCGTGTGCTGTGCAACGGGGCGCGCCCGCGCGCAGCAAAGGCATCGACTCCGTACTTTGCGCTGCTGCAGCCGTCGCACGCAGCAGCAGCATCCCGCCGGCGGGGCCGAGGGGGTGGAGGGCGGCCCCCTCCCCTGCTCCAGCCCGGCGAGCATCGCTCCTGCATCTCCTCGCGCTTTGCTTTCCCACCCAGCCCCAGCATCCCGACGCCTGCTGCCTTCCCCTCCCGCTCCCCTCGATAAGAGCGCTGGGGGCTTATCTCCAGGGTCGCGCCAAGCCGGGAGACCGCAGCAGCCCGGAGTCCGCGCAGCAACAGCCTTGACTGCTCCATATTTCACTGCTATCTGCTCTGTCTGCTAGGATTAAAAAAAGCAGCAATAACCTTCGTGGAGGAGCCGTCTCATGGCCGCACCCCAGCTGTGTCTCACGGGGCAGGGAAACCGAGGCAGCAAGGATGGGGATATTCCCACCAGGACACCCAGGAAAACACGAGCGGGGCAGGACCGAACATCCCAGCGCTGCAAAATCCGTCAGAAGCAGACGGAGCGGCGTGGGCGGCTTCTCCTCCGTCCCTGGCAGAGACGGGGCTGGAGCAGGCCGCTGGCAGTCCGGGCTCCCGAGCAGGAGACGGGGGCCGAGCTGGGGCTCAAACCCATCGCCGACGCTGGCGGGGGGGCACCGTGCCCTGGACCCTCTCCCGGCGCACGTTAGAAAGCCGCTGGGTTGCGTGGGTGACGCGAGGTGCCCGAACGCCACCCCTCTCCCTTCCCCTCTCCCCAGGGCAGCTCCGGCGCGGCTCTCCGGACCACCCCTCCTTCGCGCGTCCCTCAGCCCTGCGGCAGGCTGGAAGACTTGTGATTTTGTTGTTTCCAACGTCAAGGGGAGCAAACAACAAATCCCAGTCTCCGCCCTGCGCCGGGCACAGGCTCCACGCCGGCGGGCACCGCCGGCTCCAGCGCGGCCAACCCCGCAAACTGGGCACGCTGCACCCACGCGCGAACCCCGGTGAGACGCAGCCAGGCGGCTGCAGGGAACAAGGTACCAACTTGCTGGAGAAATTAAAAATAAACCAAAGGCAGAGCAACGTGAATAGGGAGCCGAATGTGACAGGGTCACGTCCCGCCGGCAGGCAGCCGAGCGAGCTGGCGATGGCCCAACCGCTCTCCAAATCGCGGTTTTCTGCCCCGAAACGCTGCCGAATTGAGCGGGGAGGCCAAGGCGCGTCCGTCCGTCAGCCTGCTCGCCTCCCGGCCTTCCTTACGGCTCCCGTGGCCGAGCAAAGATGCTGCAGCACTTCGATATACGTACATACGTATATATACGTGCATATATATACACACACACACACACACATATATATATTTTTTCCAAGCTATCCCACTCCCCAGCCTCCCCACCCTGGAGATCTCCCTGCTGACCCCGCTCTCACCGCACGTTCAGAAGTTATTAACTTTAACAGAGTCGGTTTGAACTTGCGCCCCAAGGAAACCCCCGATGTCGCGGCCAGGGACCTTAGGAATAAAAACTGGTTTCTTGAAAGAAACGCAGGTGTTCGTTTCCTGCAACATCTCCCTCCTCCACATTTAAAAGGTCTGATTTCCAAGTTGGAAGTGCTGCGGTCGTTATCCGGGGGGAAAGGCTGAAAGGGAGGGGGGAGGAATAAAGTGAAAATAAGTCCTTGACAGCAGAAATCTCTCCAAATCAATCAGCCAGATTCGCCACGACCTGCTGAGGAAATTGCTCCTTCTGTGACGTTTTAAAGGAATTAATTCTATTTATCAGAGAAAAATGAGAGGAAACAGTCAGCGAGGAACACCTTGGGGCAATTCCTCTGGGAAGGAGAGAGACAGCAGCCAGAAAGTGCAATTGTTCCTTTGAAAGAGGGCTTTTGAACAGCAGTTACTGAGGATTAGGGAAAGCTCTCTGGAGGGGATTAAGGTTTCGCTAAAAAGCTGCTTTCTCACCAGCCTTCAAAGCCGCCTTCTCCTCCCAAGCCTGGGCCGACCAAAGGCGAGACCCAAAACCCAGGGCTGCAGCCATCGCAGCGCCCCGCCGCGTCCCTCCCTCCCGCCGGCCGTGCGGGGGGAGCCCCAGCCCTTCCCTCCCACCTCCTCTCCCCCATTTTGCGATGGGGGAACGCTGCTGCTCCCAGAGATCCCCCGGGGGGTGCAGGGCTCCCAGCTCGGCGCTTCGTCCCGGTGCACGGGCGGATCATGCTGCTTTTCTGCTCCCTGAGGAATCACAGGCGGCTTTGGGATGGAAGAGAGCTTTAAACGTCACCCAGTCCAACCCCGCTGCCATGGCAGGGCCATCGTCACCCAGATCGGGCTGCTCACAGCCCCGTCCAGCCGGGCCTTGGATGTGCCCAGGGATGGGGCATCCACCCTGCGCTGGGCAACCCGTGCCGGTGTCTCACCACCCTCAGCGGAACAAATTTCTTCCTTAGATCCAGTCTGAATCCGCCCTCTTTTAGTTAAAAACCATCCCCCCTTGTCCTGTGGCTACAGGCCCTGCTAAAAAGCCTGTCCCCACCTTTCTTATAAGCCCCCTTTAAATATTGAAAGGACGCAATAAGGCCTCCCTGCTTCCACTGCCTCTGCCTTTCCTTCTTGCCCTTCAGTTTGCCCAGCGGGTCTCGACTCAGACATGCCGGGCTCTTGCCCT